AGAACCTGTTGTAAATCTGCACCAGGATTGATGACAAACATATTTTATTTTATTTTATTTTTTTATCGTTTTGCCATAGATTTCAATAGAGACTTTGTTCATGAGTAAATCAATGAGGGGGGAAATAATATGTCACAGTATTATCTCTGAACAGAACTGTTGGAGCATTGGATTAAAACAAAGTAAAAATTAAACAAAATCTACTGAGAAGGAAATGATTGCAGCTCAGAATTTGTTTGTTGAACCGTTTCACCACAGAGAGACAGAAAAAGCTCTGAACACAATTACTCGAAGCAAATGATCACAAATCTAATCATGCAATAACTTAATTTTTCCTCTCTCCTACACTCTCCTTTCATTTTCCTCTTCTATAAAATTTGCACGCACGCACACACACACACACACACACACACCTGCCCACACACACTCAGGATGACATCTGAACACAGAGAGATGACAACACCAAACATGCTGTCTGTGCCCACATCCTCTCATGCAAACCCAAACATTTAAACTAATAGTCACAGAAGGTTTTTTTAAGCAAACACACACACACACACACACACACAAACACACACATCCAGGTGCAAGACTCCACAGGCACTGCGCCAGTCACTCACACAGGCTGCCAGAGTACAAGACAGAAGGGTCGTTGTGTTGTAAATGTCAGGTGTCCTGCTGTTGGAGCCAGCGTGCATTCTGCCACTAAACACTCAGCCACAGACATTTAACCACACTTAGTTCCACAGCACGCTGAATGAAAAGCTGAATGAAGAGGAAGACTTGAAACAGAAATAGTACGAGGGAGAACGGAGTCTGAATTAATCTTTCAAAAAAATTAGTTAGTAAAATGCTAAAAAGTCACTTTTCTTTGTCAGGCATCTCTTTCCTGCAACATTCCTGTGAGAGATTAACTTTTAAAGGATTCTTATTGTTTCTGATGTTTCTTTCTTATTCATTCAAATTCATGAACCTGGTTCCGCTCATGAAGGCGGAGGCTTAAATATTTTTCTAAAAGTTTTTTTATGAAAAGACAAAAACTGAAAAGAGTAAAAGGACTGCCAGGAGAGGAAGTCTCTAGTGATGGCTTATTCACTGTGTTCCCAAGGTAACCGGTGAAAATATTCCCTCAGAACAATGGCAACATCACCAGCCTGTAATTTCACTGCAGTTCAGTTGTGTGATGGAGTGCGTGAACGCTGCAGCAAACCCACGTTAATGACAAACAGGAATACGATCAGAATCATTACACGGGTTCATGGGGGGTCTGTGAGGGTCCGCGTGTACCTGCGACAGGCCGGAAAAGCCCAGGTGGCGGCAGCCGTTGCATGGAGTAAGAGCTTCCCAGAATCCAGTGGGACCACAGGTTTTATCTGCCTCGTCTTCCTCCAAGGCTGGAGCGAGAGGTGGAGTGGGCCTCTGTCAACACAAATACCACAACGCAGTCAGAAAACTGACAACAGAAGTAAACAATGATTAGAACCAGATGTGAGGTCTGCTGATCATTAACATGCAATGTGATCACAAAAGGGTTAAATGAAAACCTTTGACCTGGCCGGTGCAAAATGAAAATATATAAAAAAAAAACACACACACAATTAATCTCTGCTCTTGCGCTACATCAACAAAACAAAGTGTCCATGATGAATTTTGTACCATCTTCCTGTTTCAAACTGAAAACCTAAGCATCTATAGGAGAATGCTGCAGAAAGACATCAGCGCCGTTCAAGGCAACTTATGTGAGCGGAACTTGTCACCCAGGCAACCAAAGAAGATGGAAGAAAAAAAGGCAGGTCAGTAAAAAGCTGTTCTTGAGCGAACAAAAATCCTAAAAGAGAAAAAGCTGCTGCAGAAGCAGAACAGAGGAACCGGTTTGGTTTGTGATCTCAAACCACATGTTGAACTCATGTATGATAAGGCATTTGTTTGTTTGTTTATTTATTGTGAAAATTTAAATACAAAAGACTAACAAATTAAAATTAAAGTTTTATTAAAGTGGGTTATTTGGGATTGATTTGAATATGCTAAAATTTAGAGCAATACACTGCAAAAACTGTCCATCTAACCAAGTTTTAAAATCTTATATCCAGCCAAAAAGTCTTTTTGATCTTGTTTTGAGACTGATTTACTAAACAAGAACTGACTGTGTAAGAATAATAATCTTGTTTTCAGAATTTGTAAGATTATTTGTCTTGTTAGTCTGAAAATTTGACTCAAAATAAGTCAAAAATTTCTGCCAATGGAGTAAGAAAATTTTACTTTGTTAGATTCTTGAAATAAGAAAAAAAATTGAGTCAAATCAAGTATTTCAAGAATCTCACCAAGTTACAAGATCAAAAAGATTTTTTTGGCTGGATGTGAGATTTTTAATCTTGGTTAGGTGACATTTTTTGCAGTGTACGATCCAATCAATAACCAAAAAAGTCATTGTTTAGATCATTGTTTCCACAAATTTTAAATGACTCCTCTCTAAATTTCAGCTCTTCATAGGGTTTTCCAATCTCTTTTTGAAAATGAAATGTCTGTTTTCAATAACATATACAAGATTTGCACATAAACGAGTCAAAAGAACAAATACTATAAGCTACAATAATTAACTATAAGGTGAAAAAATATGACTGCTTTATTAGTTTTCTAGAATATGTAAATAAAATACAAATGCAATTAATCAGCCCTCCTTTTTGAAGCTTTTAAAACCTGTAATAAAAACTCATATCTTTTTGAAAGAAAGGAAATAGCTTCTTGTTGCCGCTTTGTGAGCTGCATAAAAGTGCAGTAATAACAGGATAATGATGGACACGGTGTGTTTACCAGAAGCTCCTGGACTCTCGGGGGACCAGGTGTGAGGATGAGCTGTGTGCAGTGAGGTTTAGGAGAGCAGATACGGCCCACCTGATATCTCACTGAACACTGAAGCTAAGGACACGGATGTCAATGGCGTGAAGCAGAGGCAGGAGAAATCTCAACCAGATTCAGAGGAAAGGCATAGATAAAAAGAGCAAAATGTAGGGAAAAAAATTGCCAGTTCATTCAGCCTGCAGAGGCCTCTTTGTAACAATCAAGTATTTATTGATTGAAAATGGACTGCAGTTTTCATTTACTGTACACTGATAGTACAGTACAAGTAGGTTTATCCTTTCATTGCAGTAAAAGTCTGATGTCATTGAAAACTATTTTGTGTACTGAGTCTGAAACTATTTTTCTTTCTAGTGGGACTGCTGGGATGTTTAGAGTAGCAAAAGTTGATTWCATGTGAAAAGTCAAGTGTAATTATCAACATGGTCCTTCACATAAAGAGGCACTCGTCAAAGTAAACAAAGTGTGGCAAAAAAAAAAGGATAAAATATGCTAAATATGTTCGGGAGAGAAGTTTTTAGAATGTGATAAAAGCCTGCTATACACAAACATTGCATTGATGTTAGTTTCCCTCCTATTTGTATAGTGCCCTGAAACAACATATGTTGTGACTTGGCGCTATATAAATAAACTGGGGCTGTCAAATGATTAATATATTTAATCTGATTAATTCAACTCAGTTAATTTAATAAACTGAATTGAAATGAATTATTTCTAATTCACATCTGTCTCTCTTTGTTCTCCTGCAAACGTAGTTTGTATAATTACCACTCCCAGTTTATAATGTTTTGTCGGTATATATAGAGTTTTTTCTCATCTTCAGAGCCTCTTCTGTTTTTTACTTTTAAGTCCTGATATGTAAATAACCTGCAACCACTGCCACCCCTGTTGCGAGTCCTCACCTTGAACTACGACCCTCAGACTCACATCTGAACCCTCTGACTGCATACTTACCACCCTCATTTAAAAACAACACATCAGCTCTCGCCCAGTACACACACTGGGCACCAAGCCACAGTAAGTGGCCTGTATTTCTGAGTGTGCTGCAGAGCTGATTTGAGCTTTATTCATGACTAATGGGCACACTGAATCACATACTAATGGCCTTGGCAACATGCTCTGACAAGCCTGGGGCCACATAAACATACATACACTGAAAGTGCTCATAATAGAATACAAATAAGTGCTTATTGAGGTAGAAGGATACAAGATGGATTGAGATAATTACAACCTAATTGAGCAGAGGTGTGTGCACTCTCAGTACATGCACAGGTGTGTGACCTTTGGCGTGAAGCTGTAAACGTCATGCCGTGTGGCACATTTATGATTTGGTTCCCATTTAAAGTGCGCTTATTGTAGAAATGGAAAAATGATAAGCTATTGATCAGTGTCTTGCTGAGGTGGGTTTGTGTTTTTCTCTTGTGACTTAGAAGAAAATAAATAGAAATAGACATAATAATGAGCAGGAGGCACACTCAACTGGCTTTTTTCAACATGTGAGTCTAAAGGCTCAGGTGTGAGGGGGGATCAGTGTGACAAATGACCTCTGTTCTATATTTGTCAGTGGGATTAAATCCTCTCAAGTCTCTTTCTAACGTTGTGC